ATACATATCAGCAATATGTTTTTATTGGATGGTGTTGATAATTAGCCACTGAGTAGTTAAAGTTTGCAAACAATTTCAATAATTAGGTCATCTCCTTTTCTTGTAATTGTCTCTTTCTGAATGAAAATTGACATATCTTTAAGGGACAATATTATATTTTTCTCTTAATAATTACTCTAAGAGTTGGTACAGGGTGTCAACATTCTTGTTCACCCTATTCAGTTCAGATTTAACTTCTCCAATCTCATCTCATTGTTAAATTCATTCAAACCAGTAACAACATTAGTCAATTCTTGCTTTAATCCATCCATTTCTTCTTTCATCTCCTTCTTAAATCATTCATATCTTTCTTAAATTCATTCATTTCTTTCATATCTTTCTGTAATTCATCAATATCTTTCTAACAGTCCTAACATCCCTCTTTATCTCACTCACATCTTTCTTAACATCCTTGACCTCCTTTTTCAAGTCATTTATGTCTTTCTTAACATCCTTGATTTCCTTTTTCATATCTTTCTTTAGCTCTTGCATTTCTTCTTTCATCTCCTTTATATTCTTTTGCATTTCTTCTCTCATCTCCTTCATCATATTCTTTTGGAATGATGAGAAGGCTTGCGCAATAAAATGCATCATAATATCTAAAGAACCGACAAATAATGGGATTTCTTCAGCATAATCTTGCTTAATAACTTGTGCGGAAGAAATTCCTTCCTTCTCTTCAGAAACAACAGCAACCACTATGTTATCTTCACTCTTCTCTTTGTTCTCTTTGGAAACATCTGATTCGGAAACAGTTTCAACAAGCTTCAAGAGTTTCTTCCTTCCTTTCTTCAACAACCACCTTCTCAATCCTTTCAACCTTGGTTCTTCTACAGTTGGCTCCTGTTGTACTTTGTGAACAGCTTCATTCTTCTCCCTCTCCTCAACAACAGCAGCTGCTTCTAAAAAATCCATTACCTTACTATTAAATAAACGCTTGCTAAATTGTCTTTGCTTCTTATTGGACATTTGTTATATTTTCTATTGAGTTTGTTAGCGGTTATTGTGTTGTTATAATGATTACTAGAGAGTTGTTTATTCGTTTAAGTCCTAGAATCAGCACCAAGTAACTAACATGTTATGGTTGGGAAGAATGCGAAAGTTCAGTATCATTGATATTCATCATGACTATAACACAGTCTTAAACACACGAACTTTAAAGTAATAT